CTCAGCCTTTTTCCTTTTAATTTTCTTTTCTTTTCAGAATGACAGTGGTGAGGCCCTGCCTCCCCTGACTGCATGTTCCTGCAACCTGATGATGCTTTTTGAAGATGGAACTCACATGACACCTGAACGATTTACAGATTGGACTATGGGATGGGGTTACCAAGAGGAGGGGGTTGGGTCACATATTGATATCTATGATTCTGCGCTCTTTTGCCTCAGATCTTGCTTAGCTTAGCTGCTATCTTTTCATAACAAGTAAAAGTACTCTTAATTCTGCGAAAGGGAGTTAAGTGGTTTCTTTCTTGGTTGCTGAGGGAGGCTGGCTTGACAGCATCCATGAGAACCCTGACAGTTTCATTGAAAGGTAGTCATCGACTTATGAAGACAATTGAGTCCAAAATTTCTGTTGCTAAGTGAGACAGTTGTTACGAGAATGTGGCCCCACGTTACAACATTTCTTGCCACAGTGCTTACCTAGATCACTGCAGTTGTTACGTGAATCTGGCTTCCCCATTGATTTTACTTGTCAGAAGGTCACAACAGGGGATCGCATGACTCTGGGACACTGCAACCATCATTAATATAAGTCAGTTGCCAAGCATCTGACCACTTTTGATCACGTGATCAAAGGTATGCTGAAATGGTGGTAAAACACTTTTTTCAGTGCCATTGTAACCTCGAATGGTCACTAAATGAACTGCAGTAAGTTGAGAACTACCTGTACAAACAATAGCCAAGAGGTACTTTGGAGAAGTAACAGCTGCTTTCTATTTGACAATCATACAATCCTGTTCTCTGAGGGAAGGAGCGCCTCTTCCTATGTGGTTTGAATTTCTTGAAGATGCAGCTTCCCTTTTTCCTCAAGGGGGTACAGGAGGGCTGAACGTCACAGTTGTGAAAGAAATATCTACTGACATTCTGCACCCACAAAGAGAAGCTTGCTTAGAAAACAGAACCTGACCTACAGTAGTGGCCAAAATTGTGGAAACCTTTTGGGAAAAGTGTATTTTTGAGGTTTGATGGCTAATAACACCACTTTTGTTTGCAGTAGTACCATAACATTATACGTCAATGGAAAGATTGGTATTGGTATTGGTATAAGTTTATTTATAGGCCGCCCTTTTCCCTGAGGGGACTCAGGGCGGCTTACAACTNTTTTGCCTTTCCCCCAGCCCTGCTGAAGCCTGCAAAGTGCTTCTGGGGACTCAGGGAAGGCAAAAATGCCTCAATTTTTGCAAACAAAGGCAAAAAAATGGCCCATTTTTTGTAAAAATGAAGGTGGTTTTGCTTTCCCCTAGCCTCCAGAAGTACTCTGTAGGCTTCAGCAGGAGCCAGCAAAGCACAGCTTCTCAGAGCAGCATGCCACCCTGATCAATGCTCCGGGGATCCAAAAACAACGCTGGTAAAGCCAGCAGCTTCAGGGGGCTCCTTCCCTCAGTGATTTGTTTTCTTACCTCTAGGTGCTACACCGGCTTTGTCCTTAAAGGCTGCTGCTCCATGGCTTTTGATCTTTCTTGGGCACAGAGAAAAGTGACCCTTGAAGGGATCAAGCCTGCTGCTGAATTTGGAAGCTGTGAGGCCTCTTTTCCACCCAACCACCGGTGCAGGGTGCCAAAAAGACCTCTGGTCACTGCCACCATCTTCGCGCATGCACAGCTTTCTTCTCACCAGCTGGAGGACTTTTTGGCACCCAGTGGCTGAGTGGAAAAGAAGCCTCCAATCCTCTGGCACTCAAAGATGCAGCTGAGAGGTTTCTTTGCCAGCCAGCCACGTCCTAGCTCCGGTCAGCTTGCCATCCAATGGACGCGAGCAGTGCCAGGTGCCCAGTTCGGAGGTGTGGCCAGCCTGCCGGTACCACCAGTTTGGAGATCCAGCCCTGGTTTTTACTATCAGTTCTACTGAACCGGTCCAAATCAGTAGTAACCCACCTCAGATGTGCATACTTAAAGGAGGTGTAAGTATGTGCATATAAGAGGACCAATTTGGTTTAGTGGATAAGGCATTAAGCTAGAAATTAGGAGACTCTGAGTTCTAGTGTTGCCTTAAACTCAAAGCCAGCTGGGTGATCTTGGGCTAGTTATTTTCTCTCAACACTAGGAAACAAGCAGTGCCATGTCACTTCTGAAAAACCTTGCCAAGTAAACCACAAGGACTTGTCCAGGCAGTTTCTGTGCATTGGACTTTATTGAAGAAAAAGAAAATATCAATTGGAGAGTGACTGTATGTAATTAATATATTTATTTAGCCAAACATATTTTATGCCTAACTTGGAACACATTTGAGTTTTGCAAAATGTTTCATCACCTCATTTACTCCATTAAAAATTATGCTTTCCAATTTTTTTTTAAGAATGGAAATATCCAACTTTTACTGTAAGTAGTGGAACACATTATTTAAATTGTTTGATTTCTTACCTTGAGATCATTTTCTTTTCTAACAAGATTTTCATAGTCCTTTCCCTGAAGGATAGGAGAATTAAGGAAGTTTTCCAAGGTGGACAAAGCTTGTAGAAGCTGTTGGATCTCTGCCAGGTATGCAGAAGGCACATAAGAAGTTTCCATTGACATACCTTCAGTCATCAGTACAGTAGTCTCCTCATGAACAGTTTGCTAGTACAGATATACAACAGAAATCTTTCTTTAGATTGATTATATTTTTACAAAGCAAATCTTTATCAAGGTTTATATATATTTCTAATATTCCACATATAATAATCCAAATTAATTTATTTAAATTCAAGTTTTTATGCCTCTTATTCACATCTTAGGTATGTGTTTGAATAAAGAACAATTGCAAAATAGTACTAGTCATGGTCCCAGGATTATAAAAATGAAACTAAGGAATATATTTGAGGCTTCTCATTTTGCCCATAAAAAATGTTAGAAAACATTTCAACATGTCAACATGTCAAAACATGTCAAGGAAAAATGTACTTTTTGCGTATGACAGATATGCAGTGCAGGTTGAAGATGGATGATCATTTAAACATGAGTCAGCAATGTGCAGCAGCAGCCAAAAATATTAATACAATCCTTGTTTGTATAAACAGAGGCATAGAATTAAAATCATGTGAAGTTTTAGTACTGCTTTATAAATCCTTAGTAAGATCACACCTGGAATACAGCATCCAGTTTTGGGCACCACATTACAAAAAAGATGTTGAGAGTTTGGGAAAAGTGCAATGATTATTAAAGGCCTGGAGACAAAAACATATGAAGAATGGTTGCAGAAATTAGGTATGGCTAGACTAGAGAAAAGAAGAACTAAGGTTGGCATGATAACAGTTTGAGGGGCTGCCATGAAGAGGGGGGTCAACTTATTTTCCAAAGCACCAGAAGGCAAGGCAAGAAACAATGGATGGAAACTAACCAAGGAAAAAGCAACCTAGAAAGAAGAGAACATTCCTAACAGTGATAACAATTAATCTGGAACAGCTTGCCTTCAGAAGTTGTAGGTGCTTTGTCACTGGAGGTTTTTAAGAAAAGACTGGACAGCCACATGTCTGAAATGGTATAGGGTCTCCTGCTTGAGCAGAGGGTTGGACTAGAAAACCTCCAAGGTCCTTTCCAGCTTTATCTGATTCATTGGTAGGGAAAGGGTAGGGAGGGTGTCCAAGGGTATGTGAGAAAAATGACATAGGTCAGGAAAGGTTGGGAGGGTTCATGAGGCTCTGTGAGGATGCACAAGAATCACAGTGCAAGTCAGGGAGGGTTGAGGATGCATGAGGGTGCAAGAGATAAGAGCAGTGTTGCAGATTGGGAAGAGTGGGGTGTGCAAGGATGCAAAGGAATATGCAAAAGGTGTGGTACAAATCAAACAGGGTGCATAGGAGTGTGAGATGTGCACAAGAGATGCCATGCTGGTTTGCAAGGGTGATCAGGAAAGGTTTGCAGAGGTGTAGCATGGATCAATGAGGATGCGTGGGAATGTGCAAGTACTAGCATGGTATGAAAGCAGTGAGGTTGGGGAATGTTGCATGTGTAAGGAAGTCTTGTAACCTTGACTGCCAGCTTCCCAACTAATGTTTCTAGAAACCCAGCAAAGAAGAATTGAAAATGGCAATCACATGATCACAGGGTGCTTGGCAAGCAGTCATAAGTGTGAACAGATTGCCAAGCTCCAAATTGCCATCACATGACCATGGGGGTGCTGGGATGGCCAGAACTCTATAACCCCATTTGTTCAGGGCCATTATAACTTGAAATGGTTGCTGATTGAATGGTTGTAAATTGAGTGGTACTTGTAAATGAATTCCCTATTTTCTTCTAAATCCCTTTCCACTTAACAGTCATGTTCATGTTATTGTTGGGTCGAACTTGAATGTATGCTATCATGTCTAGGATATTACAAAGTTTCCTTAATTCTTTGTTCTGGAAATGTTAAGAGTTTATAAGACTGAATACTTATGTGTTGTTATTATTCGGCATGCATTACTGTGTTGTTATTATTCGCCATGCATTACTGAGTCGGTATGCATTACTGTACTTCACATACTATTGTTGTAAGTTATATTGTAATTGTATATACGTTTCAGTTACTGTAAATATAAATATTGCTTATAAAATGTTGCTTTGGATACTTGTTTTTGTGTATTTGTACTTTGTACTTTGTTTTTTATAGATGTTGAACTTCACAAGGCATTTAGAAATATAATGCCTTTGGGGAGGAGGGGCCAACGTTGCAACGGTACGCACACGAACTTCGGTTCCCTAGAGGAGCGGTGATATCCTACAGCTGTGGGGTTCTATTCAGAGGTTAGAACTGTCTCAGAGGGACAGTGAGGAATGGGGGCATGGGCAGATGTGAAGGGGGTGCTGCAAATCCCCTGGAATGTCTGCAATAGCTCCCGACCCGGTGGCTAAGAAGACAGCCATTGTGAGCTGTCAGAGTTGGGGCGACCTCACAAAGAGAGAGAAGAAAGTGGCTTGGAGCATCTTGGTGAGATCATGATACTATCCTGGGGCACATTGTATTCAAAAACTTTTTTTTTCTCCCTGATTGACTGAGAACAAAAGAGAAGGCAAGGGGAGGGGGGGTAGATTAGCTCTCCACTCCAAGAAGCAGCGGTGAAGAAGCAAACAACAATATTAGATAAATTACTCATCAAATAGTTTTGGGAGGAGGGTTTGGAGAAACAGAGAGCATTCTGGACAGATTTGATTGCTAGTGAAACTTTTAAATCTTGACATTGAATATTTAAAGAATATTTAAAGAATTTGGAACTCTGAGGTTGCTCTTGGATTCCCCCCCCCCCTTACCTATTCTTTTCAGTAATAACATTGCCATCTAGTGGCAACAGAGAGAACATAATAGAAAAAACAAAGTTAGAAATAATGACCTTGGATAATGCATAGTGACTTGATAAACAGAGTGGTGATAAAAACTGCCACATAAGACAAAACACCAGCTGTGGATTTATTTTTTGTGCTTTTGTTTTCCACTTTCCTAATTACAACTTTGAAGTTTTGGAACTGTTTTGGAACTGTGGAGCTTTTGCTTGTATTAAGAATGAAAGTTATTTTCCTTAAGTGGATCTGTACCTGGTTCCTTTTTTAAATCAATTCATTTCTTGCTTTTTCCTTGTAAATTTCCACATAATGAGTACTTATTGGGTTTTTCTTTTCCTTTTTATTTTTTTCTCTCTCCTTTTTTCCCTCCTCCTGTTAGAGTTGGAGGGAATAAGGGGGATTAAAGACTTCTTTTTTTACAAATGTGGTCAATTTTTCACTATTTTTTCCTTTGCGCTTTTTGTTGAAATTTGGTCATTTCTTTCTTTCTTTCTATTCTTTATTACAATTGGATTAGGGTACAAGAACCGAAAGTTTGGAGGAAATAAGGGGAACTAAAGAAATATTTTTATTTTACAACAGTGGCCAATTTTTTTCTTTGTGCTTTTTGTTGGAATTTGTTTTTTTTTCTTTTTATTTTAGTACTACAATTGGATTAGGGTAACAAGAACCTGAAGCTTGGCCCACCAGACTTGGAGAATTGATCTTCAAAATTTGGAATTTTCCCCCCTTTTCTCTTCTTTTTTTTTTAATTTTTGGATTGCAAAAATAAATCAACAAGATGAAGAAGATAACAGCATATTCTTCATCGACAGCAACAATCTCCAGTCCCAC